TGAAAGGACAGAAAAAAATACTGCATGCCAATAATAACCAAAAGAGAGCTGGGGAGTGGTTATTTTATTGTCAAATAAAATAGACCTTAAGTAAAAAATGAAAGACACAAAGAAGGATATTTTATATTAATAAAACTTCAGCCCATCAAGAAAGATATAAAATTATAAACATTTACACATTTAATGACAAAGTCCCAAAGTATACAGAGCAAAAATAGGTGGAACTGGAGGAGAAACAGACAGTTCTACAATAGTATGGGAACCTCCAACACACCATGTCCTATAGTCATGGACAGTCAGCCCATAAATCAAAATGAAAACAGAGAACACGAATACTGTACACTAATTAGACCTGACAGACATACGGAACACTCCACCTATGACAGAACACACACTCTTTCCAAGGGAATATGAAACACTGTCTAGGACAAACCATAGTGACATCATGATACCATAAAAAGTCTTAATACATTAAAAAATTTTATCACACGAAGTATCCTTTCAATCATAATGGAATGGAATTACAAATCACTAATAAAATAAAAACTGGGTAACTCATATACATATGGAAATTACACACTCTTAAGTAACCAATGGGTCAAAGGAGAAATCACAAGGGAAATTACAAAATACCTTGAGATGAAAGAAAATGAAAGCACACATACCAGAACTTCTGAGTGAAAGCTGGACTGAGAGAGAAGTTTAAGGCTGCACCAACATTAAGAAAGATCTAAAATCAATGACTTATTTGTGCTCTTTAAGGAAGTAGAAAACCTAGAAGAAGGAAGGGAACAATGAAGATTAGAGCAGAGATAAATGAAACAGAAAACAATGGACCAATTCAACCAAACCAAAAGTTGGTTATTTAAAAAAGATCAACAAAATTGACAGTAGATGAGCAATGTGAGGTTGTTCTATCCATTATTAAAAGAGGCATGTGTTGCTATAGCTTGGCTGAGGCAAAGACTAATTACTAAAACCAGAACTGAAAGGTGGATATCACTTGCTGCAACAGAACTCAGTGTGACAGGACATGGGGGCAGAAACAAACCAACAAGAAACACGATGCGGGTGAAGTGGGAAATGCCCAGAAACACACGAATCACCAAAACTGACTCAAAAAACTTTTAAAAATGTACACAGCTGCCAATTAAACAAAGCAGACAGGACACATTTGTTTACAGTTCCTCCAGAAACACTCCAGAAAAAAAAAAACAGCAAAAGGTGCAACAAGCTGATGCCACAGCCAGCCAGAGGGGAGAAGAGAGCAGAGGAACCTGGTAATACATTTTTAGGAGGGAATACACAAGACAGAGGTGGCTGACTGCAGAGCTGAGAACACATTACTGTCATGCCTGGGGACAGAGATGCTGGGCCAAAGGCAGCCATCTTCTCCACAAATGGCTGGAGATGTCCAGACTCAGGGGTAAGGTGGCAACAGGGGCAGGGGTGATGACTGAGAGACGGGGTGAAATGTGAAGTTGAGCACAGGGTAGGGGCTGAAAATCCTTGTGTGGAGCATTTAGCTGGCCTCACACAGCCAGCAGCCAGCCTCTCACACCCCAAAGGAGGAAGGGGATTCAGCTGTCAGAATACAGGCATGTGGGGAGTGGACAGGCTGGGGAGGCACCAGGCAGAAAAGAGTGGGTCTAGGAACAATGGCTAATCAGTACCCTTCCTGGAACAGAGAGAGGGAACTCTTGTTTATTGAAACTTAGGAGCTGTGAGGAGACGGTGAGGAATTAGAACAAGAGAGACAGGCTGACAGATGGCATTGATTCAAGACTGCAGAAACAGATTCACATGTGTGCCCATGTGGCGCTGTGGTACAGGATAGAGGTGGCCTATCAGGTGGTGAAGGAGGAATGTTCAGTGAATGGAGATGGACACAATAGAAGCCCAGGAGTGGGGAAAGATGAAGTCAGATCCCTACCTCACAGCCAACACTTAAATGAACTATAGGTAAAGGATTCAACTTTCACAATCAAAAATTTAAAATTCAGGATTTGGGCAGAAAGACTTATTAATAGAGACCAAAAAGAATTATCTATATAATAAGTGTAAACATGACATGTTGGAACTTGTGGCTCTGGTTCATTAACTGACACATTACATGAAACACACCTGTCGGTTTGTGCACCTACAAACTAGCTGTAATTCAACCTACTGACAAAGCATTTGTATCAAGAATATACAAAGAACACACATGAATCAATAACAAAAGCACCAAGAATCCAATGGAAAAATGAGCTCAGCACAGGAGAAAGGGCTTCACATAGGAGAAATCTTGGCTGGTAGATGTCTTCAGTCTCATTAGAGATGAGGGAAGTGAGAGATCTCAGGGAGTGCCAGTCCCCACCACTGCCTGGCAAGTTCAATGCTGGGGAGGTATGAATTGAGAGGACTTTTTTTTAATTATTATCATATTATTGTACTGGGGGTACATTGTGACATTTACAAAATTTATTACAATAATCATAGTTGAATTTTCCCCCTCCATCATTCTCCTTTATCCCCCTCCTCCCCAATCCTGAAATACCTTCAACAGGTCTCATTTTTCCATTTTCATGCTTGAGTACATAATATTCCACCATATTCACCCTCCTACACCCTTTCCTTATATCCTCCCCCCTCACTGGTGCCAGCCCCCAGACAGGACCTGTTTTATCTTCCTGTTCCCCATTTTTTTTAAAGGGCAGTTTTGTTTGTTTAAGATAGTTATACAGGGAGTTTCACTGTGACATTTCCATGTACATATGTATTATAACCTGAATTGGTTCATGCCCTCTAGTTTTCTCCTTTCTGCAATAGTCCCCTTCGTATGGTGATTTCAATAGGTTTAAAAATCCCTATTTGTTCTTGTATAGAAAGTACATCAACCATATTCACCTTCTTAACCTCTTTCCTTTACCCTCCCTCTCCTGTTAGTGACCTCCCCTTAGTGTGACCTGTTTTTCATAATATTGTTTGTATTTGTATTGTTGACAGGACTTCTTACACATTGCTGTCTGGGTGTGAATTGTCTGACTGCTTTCGAAAACAACTTGGTCTCATCTCTGGGAGATCAGAGATCAACTACCAGGAACAGACCCAGAGAAACATCTGCACTTGTACTGAGGTTGGGCCTGGCAGCACAGTTTAGTAGCAAGAATATGGAAGCCATCCAGTGCCCACCCACTGATGGGGATGAGTGAACATGGTATGGGATGCAACAGCTACAGAAACAAAAGAAAATGGACACAGTGACATGGAGTATAGGCAGGTCTTGGCAATGTGGTGGTGAGTGAAAAATATGATTTCCAAAGATTCCAAAATTTCACACAATTCAAATGATGTCCTTTCTGTAAAGGCCACCAACGTATTGTGACTTGAAGGTACACAGATGCCTAAGAAATTACAGCAGAAGGAAAACAGAACAAAGTGTGTTGTGATTTGTCAGGACATTGCTTTAGTTCTGGCTGGTAGTGCTTCTGTTATCAAAAATGAGTACCTAAAATACTGAGTACATTTAAAAAGCAGTTCATTCACAGACCCGTGATGAGTCTGCATCTCCAACCAAGGATTACAAATATAATTCTGTAATTCCCCAAGGTCCAGCTGGAGGCTGGCAGCAATGTTCAACAATCCCCTTTGGTTCTCACACATAGCCAACTCTGCAGAGTAGATAGCAGCACTACCTTATTTCCTGATGAGGTTTCAGAAACTTACTTGCAGTTGTAAATCAGTAAACCTCCTAACTGTCCTGCAACCTGGGTCTGTGTGATGTCAACGCCAAGAGCACTCCATGGCTCTCTCTCTCATGTTTAGCCTGAGACACACAGCATTAGTCCCCCTGTGGAGGTGAGCCAGGGTGCCACTGGGGAGAGAGAGGCTGATCTGGGGCCCAGGACAGCCTCCACCCATCATTGTCAGTGACTGTAGCCTCCAAGCCTTCTGTGTTCACCATAGGCTCTCTTAAGTGGGACCTTGTGACCCTGTGCTGCCACAGAAGTGCTGTCAGGCTCTGCAGCCTCCCTGGAAGGGAGCAGCCCAGTGTCTACCTGCTAGCTACCTGTGCTCCCTGAGCCCCACGGCCCTACCTCTTCCTCCTCTTCTCCGCACATCACACTCACATGCTCCTTTCTCTATTCTGCCCAAGCCATCCTGTGGGACTGGGTCCGTCCCTAGGCCACCTGGTCCTGCCACACACCCTGAACTTGTCAGCACCTCACACCACACCCACATGCTCCTCTTTTGGCCATCAGTCACACACGTTATCCTTAATCCCCACCCGTTTCCTACTCAGTTATTCCCCCAACATTTCATTATTAAATCTTCAAACATAAGGAAAACTTGATTGTTTCAAGGACAGAGAACGCCCATGAAGCCCACCACCTGGATTTTATCACTGCTCACAATTGCCCCGAACCATTCATCATGGAATTGTCCCCGACCCCCACTTTCAGTGCGTTACAAAGGTACCGCAGCCCACCTTGCTGAAGCCGCCAAGGACGCCCTGCTGTGTGACATCCGCCCTTGAACTCCATCAGCTCCAGTCCCACACGTGCCCCACAGTTAAGAACATGTACCTCTCACTTTTCCTTCTACTCCACACCCACCTTTGCTGCCACAGGTAGCATCCGTGAGTGCGCCGATGCTGTAAACTGAATGTTTGTGGTCCCCACCTCCAATTCATACACTGAAATCCAAGCCCCCTGTGTGATGGTGTTAGGAAGTGGGGCCTGAGGTCGAGAGGGCGGAGCCCCGGGGAATGGGATCCCTGCCCTTTTCAGAATGAACTTCAGCGCTCATCTCATGCTCTGCTCTCTGTCCTGTGAGCACACGACGAAAAGACGGCCGTCGGTTAACTGGGGGAGCAGCGGCCCTCAGCTACCACCAGATCTGCCAGTGCCTTCATCTGAGAAATGAATGTTTTGTAAGCGATCCATGCAGGTTGCGCGGTAGCCTGCATGGATCAAAGCATCAACCAACCAAGTGGATACATTGTCACAGGTTGCATTTTAGAGGGACTTGGCCAGCAGATCCGGGCTTGTCCTGGGTGGTGAAGCGCTATCGGCGCTCTTGGAACTGAGGGAGCTCAGACCAGGCGCATGGAAGGAGGCAGGACTGACGCTGCAGTAGGGCAGCACATCAGCAAAGGAGCCCACTTTGGGGACGGAGCTCATCACCACCCCTGAAGACCACAGGTACTGAACTGGCATGGCTACTGTGGCTGATTGAGCTCAAGAGTTTAACTCCACGAGCACAAGACTCCCACGGAAGGACCCGGATGCTCACGGGCGGTGATGAGAAAGACCCAGATGCTCATTCACGGGCAGGGATGGGAAGGACCCGGATGCTCATTCACGGGCAGAGATGGGAAAGACCCGGATGCTCACTCACGGGCGGAGATGGGAAGGACCCGGATGCTCACTCACGGGCAGTGATGAGAAAGACCCGGATGCTCATTCACGGGCAGGGATGGTAAGAACCCGGATGCTCATTCACGGGCGGAGATGGGAAGGACCCGGATGCTCATTCACGGGCAGGGATGGGAAGGACCCGGATGCTCATTCACGGGCGGAGATGGGAAGGACCCAGATGCTCATTCACGGGCGGAGATGGGAAGGACCCGGATGCTCATTCACGGGCAGGGATGGGAAGGACCCGGATGTTCATCACGGGTGGTGCAGAGGCGGTTCACTCACCAACGGACTTAGCACAGCCTGTGACTGAAACGCGGCTAGAATTAACAGCTTCTTATGTGTGATCCTACTTGCACACTCTGGTCGACTTACAGACGTTGGTCCCATTTAATATACCATAGCACATAAGAAGGAGATGGGATGAAGTCCTCCACATGCTTCCAACCACAATGTGCCTGCGAAGCGCATCACCACCCCTGGCCCCGGGGTCACGTGACGCAGAGAGGACCAGGTCCGACCTCCGCAGAAACCTGCTGGACGGCGGTGTCACGCTGGGCACTCCCCATCAGCTTTCCCTAGAAACGCTTGCTGGCAAAAAGCAGCTAATGGTCATTTCGTGCCCGCTGTGTCTGGAGACTTTGTAAGGTTACGTCGTATTGCTGTGACACTTTTCACACAACCACCCCCATCCAGCCAAGTTGGCTCATTTTCCTGCTGAAGAAAACTGAATTAAAAAGAAAAAGTATGCCAACAAAGAGAAATAGATACACTTCAGAAATGGCCTAGTTTACACCCACCAACATCATACAATGGGGGCACTGGGGTTTGAACTCAGGGCCTCACACTCGCTGGGCAGACGCTCTACCACTTGAGCCACTCACTCCACAGCCCAAATAATGGTTTTTAATAGAACTTCCAAGATAGTTTAAACAGCAGGCTTCTAGACAGGTATAAAATGCGATTATAACTTCATAAAGGAAAAATTGCATAATTCACAGAAAAAACATTAAAAGGGAAGTGTTAAGAAATGACAGTGGTGGCTATGGGGGTATAAAAGTGACATATTTTTACATCGTAAATTGTTTCAAGTTCCGTATTTTCTGTAATAAAAATGCACGGGCATATATTTACAAAATGGCTTGCGATTCTAGCTCCAATTGGACGGAGAGAGGAGGTTAGTTAGCCAGGCGTGATGGTGGACCCCAGTAATCTGAGAAACTCATCAACGGCGTACATCTCCTAAACTGCCTTTCGCTGGTCCAGGAATCTAACTGCCTCTTTGGGCTGAGGATGGGGTGCGGCTCTCCCGGAGACCCGAGCCCATCCTCTTCCACGGAAACCCTGCGCCATCCCCGCTTCTTCCCAGGAAGGCGGAACTTCGGCGCCACCCAGCGGGGGCGTGGCCGGAACTTCCGCCCTGCGCACCCAGGGCGAGTAACTTCCTGTGCACTGCTGGGGTGCTGGGAAAGGCCTGGGGCTTCCTACTGAGCTGAGGCCTGACCGTAAAGCCACCTGGCCCCGAGTTCCTGGCTCCTCGGAACTGGACAAAGTTAAAAATTACATAGAAAAAGAAAATATCAAGTTTTAAGACTGTCAAAATTTTTATATATTTAAGTGTGGGGTGAGATTTGCTTGTCAGTCATCGAACGGTAGCTAAATAGGTCCAGTTGTTGCAGGAACCTCAAGTTGAGATAATGGGACACTGAGACAGTTTAGCAGGAAGCAATGTTTTATTGTGCCAGCACTGACTCAGCAGACTTGTGTCCAAAGGCGGAACCCCAAGAACAAAGAGCTCTCACCTTATATACCTTTGCAAGCAGATTACAGAAGCAGAAAGCAAGGCTCAACACATATGGCTGGATATGACTTCATTGCCTGTTTCATTTCCCCAGTACTATGTGACCTTCATTTTCAATTTTTCTAAGTGTTACTTCTCTGTTATCCCATCCCTTCCCCCTGCTTCATTATCAGAACATTATCTGAACCTCCTCCCTGCTACACCATTCCCCCCTTTGATGCTCAGACCCATCTAGGGTCAAAGAGCATCATCTTGATCTAGAGGTTTGTATTTTTATAGCATCATTACATGTGTGGCTGTTTTTCTTTTTATAGTGGCTCCATAATGGTCCTGAAAGACCACAATACCAGGGGGACCAGGCAGGGTAATATTAAACATGCTCCCAGGACAAGGCTGTTCCCCCTATCAAGGTTTTGAAACAGCCCAAGGCAGAGAACCATTCTCCACACAGGTCATTGGGATCCCATCCTCTCCAAGTCTGGATGGGGACATGAGCAAGCTTTCTCATTTTGTCTGTGATCCCTTTTATGACCTTTTTTTTTTTTTATCATTAATCTGTAAGCAGCAGTTGTTTAGGTTAAGTTTTTCATAAATTCCTCCCTCAGAAGCCAGAAAATAGTCTAAAGCCAAGCAGTTCTGATAGATGGCATTGCACATCTTAGTGCTTTGTCTTGCCAGCAAATTGAGGGCTCTTGTAGTTTTATTAGTTATAATTTTAGCAACAGCCTGTAGCCTGATGATGTGGTTGAGAATATATATAGGGGTGCAATAGCCCCAGGACCCGTCTTTTGCCCAAGTGGCAAGACCATAGTGCTGGATGATTCACTCAAGAGGCCATTTGTCATCTTTCCAATTGTCAATTTTAATACACCCTGTTTTTGTCTACTTAAATCTTTTTTTATATATGGGGACTCACAGTTTTTTATCTTGCCTAAGGGGAAGTAAGAAAAAGGATGGTCTGATTGAGCCTAGCATGCAAGACCCCAAACCAGCTATTAGGTAGCACCATATAAACTTGCTTTCCACAGATCCAATATAGCCCCTTGGGTGCCTGCCAGTCTACTTTGGCAGTAAGATTGTTCCAAGCTTTCTGGAGACGAGGGAAGCTAGTCAGTGGTGGGGGATGAGGTTCTGTGTGGTTTGGGGTTCCCCACCATTGGGTCTCTTGGGCGGTGTCATTGTAAAATGTCTGTCCTAAGCAAGTTAAATCTCCCACCAGGGTGGAGAATTGGCCTTCTGGGCAGGAGACACAGTAATTCCCGATGACGGAAGTCTTTAGGAGACAGACACCTTTCCTGCATTTTGGGAAAGCAGTCCCTTTAAAAGGCTCCTGTGGGTCCAGCTCCCTTGCATTCCAAGGCCAATGGTCTCCCATGTTGGTCCCCCCACAAACATAGCACGAAGTGACATTCAGTGTCTGGGCTATAGACTCAGCCAGTGAGAGGAACAAATTTTTAGCTTTGGCAGAGATGGAAAATTCACTCCTTATCTCCTCACAAAAGGAGTGAAAAACTTGTTATGAGGAACTCTCATGGGTAACTGTTACTAATTTGAGGTGCATCAGACTCTTAGGGTCAAGGCCCTTTCTATCTATCCTTATGATAATTACTTGTCCCTGTGTCCAATCAGATGGCTTAAGTACAGTGAAATTTACAGGGTTATACAGGTGCCGCAGGTGCAGTCAGGGGCAGCTTTCCCCTTGTGAAGAAGGCTGTGTATTTAGCCCCCTGCCATGTGGCCCATGAAACACAAACCCAATAAGGGCAATAATAAGAACCCACATCATCACATGGCCAAGAGTTGTCTCCCCGGCACGTATACTTATCATTTGACGTATAGGCTCTTTTTCAAGCTAGGTCCCCACAGCCACAGCCTGTATCTCCACATCCACCTTTGTCTATGGCTGCACGTGTATCAAAGAGCATTGACGCTGGTTTATCAGGACTAAACACCTGGGTGTGGCTGACGAGGTTCCCAGGGTGGCAGACGCTCCTGATCTCTAACCATTGCTCCCGAGGGCGGTAAGTGGGGTTGAAGCAGATTTGCTGATTACCATGGGAGCACACTGGATAGGTTGTGTTATTGTGAGTGCATGGCCCAATGACAGAGCCTGTACAGGAATAGTAAGGGACTGTGCTGACTTTCTGGAGGGTGATCGTACATGGTGGAGCTGATCAGGGATGCACTCCCTCTCGAGAGAAGCTGGCTTGTCTTGGCTGTGATGGATCCAAGGAGCAATCTCTGCTACTTTAACTGCAGTGGGGATAGACAAGATAACAACAAAAGGGCCCCTCCAATGGGGTTGGACATTCCATTCCTTTACCTAGACAGTGTCTTTTGGGTTCGTTTGTTTGTTTTTTTAACTGAATAGAATTACCATGGCAACAATATATTATCAGTATATATGTCCAAGAAAATGTGTTATTTTAATCACTATCTTTAAGCGTCAAAGGCCATGTTTAGAGCCAGTAAAAATAGTCACTTTGTCTCTATTTAAGTATAAGACCCTGTTACATCACAGTCTCAAAAACAGCTTCGTGTGGGGCACAGATCAATAGCAGAAGTGAACTGTGGAGACTTCCCAGTCCAGTGAGCGTGGAAACTTGGGATATCAAAGGGGTCCTTTCTCAAGGTGATGATGTAATACTGTTCACAAAACAAATCAAGCTTACAAAATGTAATGAAAGCAAAAAATTATAAAAATATCCACAAAGAATATTGGAGGATATTTGCGCTAAGAAAGACTATTTAAAATAAGACAGAAGGCAATTCAACAAATTTAACTTCAGAAAAGTTTAAGACCTTCACATTACAAAAGACATGATAAACATTTTTAAATGATTTTCTGGTGGAAATATATTTGAAACACATAGATAACATAATTATTATTTTTAATATAGAAACAGCACTTAAAACTGGTAATACAATCAACCCAACTTAAAACCAGGAAAAATACTTGAAAAGCTAACTGACCTAAGAGGAATTGTGAAATGGTCAATAAGAATGATAAAATGTTCAACCTCAATGGTCATACAGAAAAATGCACATTTATTTATTTATTTATTTCTGGTTACTGGGATTTGAACTGAGGGCCTCCCTCTTGCTAGGCAGGCACCCTGCCACTTAAGCCATACCACCAGCCTGCAATGTACATTTAAAGAATTAACTATTTGGATAAAGCTAAATCTATTAAGATGTAGTACTGAGCAGAGGGTGTTGAAGTGTGTGTTGCTCCAACCATATGAGGGAGTAATCAGAGAGAGTCTTTGAAGACTCAAAGTGCACAGCCCTTTGACTTTTTTTTTTCATTTTTCTTTTATTATTCATATGTGCATACAAGGCTTGGTTCATTTCTCCCCCCTGCCCCCACCCCCTCCCTTACCACCACTTCGCCCCCTCCCTACCCCCCCCAATACCCAGCAGAAACTATTTTGCCCTTATCTCTAATTTTGTTGTAGAGAGAGTATAAACAATAATAGGAAGGAACAAGGGTTTTTGCTGGTTGAGATAAGGATAGCTATACAGGGCATTGACTCACATTGATTTCCTGTGCGTGTGTGTTACCTTCTAGGTTAATTCTTTTTGATCTCACCTTTTCTCTAGTTCCTGGTCCCCTTTTCCTATTGGCCTCAGTTGCTTTAAGGTATCTGCTTTAGTTTCTCTGTGTTAAGGGCAACAAATGCTAGCTAGTTTTTTAGGTGTCTTACCTATCCTCACCCCTCCCTTGTGTGCTCTCGCTTTTATCATGTGCTCAAAGTCCAATCCCCTTGTTGTGTTTGCCCTTGATCTAATGTCCACATATGAGGGAGAACATAGATTTTTGGTTTTTGGGCCAGGCTAACCTCACTCAGAATGATGTTCTCCAATTCCATCCATTTACCAGCGAATGATAACATTTCGTTCTTCTTCATGGCTGCATAAAATTCCATTGTGTATAGATACCACATTTTCTTAATCCATTCGTCAGTGCTGGGGCATCTTGGCTGTTTCCATAACTTGGCTATTGTGAATAGTGCCGCAATAAACATGGATGTGCAGGTGCCTCTGGAGTAACAGTCTTTTGGGTATATCCCCAAGAGTGGTATTGCTGGATCAAATGGTAGATCGATGTCCAGCTTTTTAAGTAGCCTCCAAATTTTTTTCCAGAGTGGTTGTACTAGTCTACATTCCCACCAGCAGTGTAAGAGGGTTCCTTTTTCCCCGCATCCTCGCCAACACCTGTTGTTGGTGGTGTTGCTGATGATCAGCCCTTTGACTTTTAACGTTACAGAAATACCACCACCAGTACTTGACAGTGTTGGCACAGAGATGCTGCTTGCAACTGTTTGCAAAAGCTAAATCTGGCCACAAACTAAAGCTCTATCAGTGAGCAATGGTTAAACCATGGTATATCCCTGCCATGAAGAATGTTAAGAGCCTAATGAGAAAGAGTTGTATTTACATGCAATGTCATGAAAATGATTTATCTTCTGTTATTGGGGAAATAAAAAAGAAGCTGCAGACTAATGTGCTATAATTTAATGTCTTGATGTGAGTGAATATATTTATACAGACATAGGAACAAAATTGTTCAGATGGTCCTCTTGAGATGGTATTCCAGAAGGAAGACTGAGGATATT